TATTAGACCAACACAGAAGTAATAACCCTCCAAAACAGAGCGCCACCTGCTACTGGTGTGGGAACTCAGAGAAGGTGGTTGGCAGACAGGATCTCCGAAGGCCAGCCTGACAGGTCTTTGGTGTCTGTCGCCTCCTCAAGGAGGCCTGCCCTGACCACAGCTGAGCCCAGTGGCTCTGTCCTACTCTGAACATCTCCAGCGCTTCTGGCTAGGCCCCAAAATACAGCACCTGGATATGGCCCTTCCTGCAAATTCGGGGGTCCATCCTCCTAACGAGACTGCACCCTCCGGGCACGTAGGCCGGGGTGTCCATGTCCTCCCATTCTTTTGGCCTCCCCCCTAGGGGCCCCTCTCGGCCTCTGCCCAGCACTTTGGACAAGACTGCTCTCCAGGATCGCAGATAAGCCCCAAGGCCCCTCCCCATCCTGACCAAAATGTATCTCTCTCACTCACACCCCACAGACACTTCCACAGAAACCCTGGGATGCACACAGGGCACCAAATGACGTCTCTTCTTTACCCCAAATCCTATAGCTCCGCAGGCCGCCAGGGCCTCACAGAAACCACACAGAGCCCCACCCTCCGCTAATTGCTGAGTAGCTGACAACACGTCACTCTCCCTCCCCAGCCTCAATTCCACATGAAGTGCTCTTCTAGCCCTGACATTGGAATTCCATGATGATTCCACAGCCCCCCACCCCAGGGTCAGCAGAAGGTTGAGGTGGCCGGTGACAAAGCCCCTCCCCCATGCAGCTCCTCTGAAGCACGGCCTCCTGGGACCTGAACTTGCAGAGACCCCCCTTGCTTGCTGCTCACTGAGGAGCGGCCTGGGCCCAGCCCCACGCCCGGGCCTCAGCTTGACCTGCCAAGCCCAGCTTTCCTGCCTGGCTGCCGCTGATCCTGGGGGAAGAAATAACCTAAGGGGTCCTCAGCCGGCTCGGAAAGAGCAAAGTCTCAGACTCTTTCCAGGCAGGACTGCCAGGTGCATAAAGGACCCGCCCCGTGGACGTAGTTTTATTAGGTGGTCGTGCGGAAGGGCAAAGCTGCTTCACGACCACGCCGTTTTGCAGAGGACGGGCCCTGGGCACAAGGAACGAAATAGAGCACTCATTTCCCCAGAGCACACAGAGCTCCTGTGTTGCGTTAATTATCTGTCCGGGCGGGCGCAGGGTGGGGAGGGCAGGGGAAACATCTGGACGAGGCCAGACCAGTCGTTTAGCGTGGGCGAGAGCGTCACAGCACCAGGGTGGCGGGCAGCCCCGACAGAGGAAAGGGACAGCCCTCAAGGTCGCCCGGGGTGGAGGTTCTGCTGAGTGGTGCCCGTCCCCGGCTGCCAACAGGGAGGGGAGAACAGGGCAGAGATGGGGTTCCTGCCCAGGGCCAAATGCAGAGGGAAGGGGAAGCTGCTGTGCCAGCCAGGAGGAGCCGCCCAGTCTGACGGAGGAGGCACTTCCTACCCCTCCCCGCTCCCGAGACGCTACTGCTCCAGCAACCCCAAATAAAAACTGCCTCACAGCTAAAGGAGACGGAGCCTCCTCCGTCCTAATGACTGGTTTAAGTACAGCCACACCCCTCCCCGGCAGGGAAGCCAAAGCAGACTGCCTCAGCAGCCCCACGAGCGTCCAGGTCTGGGGCTGGAGCACGAGCCGAAGCCAAGGACCCTCGTGGCCTCAGCCGCTTCCTGAGGAGCAGCCACATCTGGAAATCAGTGGAGAGAAGGCTGTGAGGTCACAGGCCATCTGCCTACAACAGTAACACGAAGACTATCGAGAGGTTTAGGGCTGGATGGAAGCCCCAAAAGACTGTCCCGACCTGAGGCCAGCAGGCTGTGTTTTCCCTCAGGTGCCTCTTCCAGTGCCCCCAAACCCACCCTTCTCAAGGAGGTCTCAGGCCACCAGGACCAGCCAGGCAGATGACTCTGGTCTCCAACCCAAGTCCTCCTCAGCCACAGGCCTCCCGGACGCCCCCCACTATATCAACAGCACAAGGCTGGCAGGGCCGACAGAGCCTCTCCGGGGGCCAGTTAGCAGCCTGCCCGTGGTCTCAACAGTTTCACTCTTTGTGATGAAAAAAGACAAACTGTTCCCAACCCAAATTGAGCCCACAGACAGCCTTTCCAGGGGGCCAGGCTCTAACCATCAATCCAACAGGCCTGGAACGGGGGCTCTTCACAGAAGGGACTGTTTTACCCCACACAGAGCACCCAGTGGGGAGGACAAGGCTGGGTGCCAGAGGTAAAAACCAGAAAGGAAATAGGAGAGAAGCATCTCTTAGGATTCTCAGACCTGAGATGACCCACTTATGGCTTTAGCGAGGGGAGAGGGTTATAATCAGTTTCCCCATATATCACATTGTTTTGTTTCGAGAATTTCCTCTTCAATTATTTGAAGGCCTCCAGTGAAATCCCTCACCTCACAGAGCATCCCACTGACAAAGGAGCCTTGGGGTGTCGAGGCATCTAGCACCCCCGCCGCCACCGTCACCATCACCACACACAGCAGCTCCTGAGAGGAGCCCCAACACTGACCACCAATCATGTCCACGTACTTTAATCGCACTCTTAGTTCATCTCTTACATCAACTGTGTGAGGGTGTAAATTAGACCCATTTTACAGATGAGAACACTGAGGCACTAAGAGTTTATCTGACTTGCCACAAGATGGCAGGTCTGGGACCGGAATCCGTTCCGTGCAACTCCACAGGCCCCTCCTATTAACCATGAGGCTGCCTTTCCCCAGTCAGGTTCTGTCTCGGCAACACAGGACTACCATCTGGCCTCCTTGTGACCAACACCCCTGGTTCCTGGAGTTAAAGAGTGGCTACTGTTCTTTTCCACCATTACCCAAAGCTAAGAGGATAGACCCTGGTCCTCTCCGTCTTGCCCTCTCCCCCATGGACAATGTGCAGACTCACTGTCTTAGCAGCTCATGCAGGGTACTCCAGGAAAGGCCCCCAGGGGTGGCCATTAGAGCCAGAGGTGGGAGGTGGGGCCCAGCGTGGGGGTGGTGGCTCTCACCCTCTGTCAGTGGATATGCTTCTAGGTCCAGTGAATCATAAGATGAGGCCAACTCCACAGACTGTTCCTCTGCCCACCACAAGTGCCCCTCTCCCCTCCTGGCCCCTCCAGGTTCTATAAATAACCCAGGTCCATGCTCAAAAGAAAGGCAGCCGGGTGGGTGCCGAGAGATCCTGCTGGAAAAGATGTGACTTCTATAAAGTAAAGTAAGGCCCTCATTCAGATCAAGGGGTGGCAAGAGAAATTCTGCAAGATGGACTGTCCTTGGCTGCAAACAAGCCCTGCTGGGTCTACAGGCACAGACGCTCAGCTAAGGACGATCCAGAGGCCGAGAAGAAACCAAAGGCAGGAACTGAAAATAATCAAAGGCCCCTCCCCACATCACTGACCTCACAGAAGCGCTCCCCAAGTCCCTGACCTCACAGAAGCCCCTCCCCACAAGCCTGGAGACTTTTTTGTCTGCCCCCCAGATGTGTCACCCACCCAGTCTGGTCAGATTAGCTGAGTGCTGGTTGACGGACTGGAAAAGACGGGTGGAATGAATTTGGGAACAGGAAGCTCCGTGGAAAAAGAAAATGCTAAGAGACCCAGGAGAGAGCTTTCCGCCCCACCCCCACCCCCTTGGGGTCCCTGAGCCAGGAAGGAGGGAACAGGACAGAAAAGGGGAGGAAAAAAACAAAACAAGGGCCAAGCTACACCACATGACCCCACACCCAGCAACCAAACAGCAAGTCATGAGGGAAGGAGAGGAGAAGGCCAGGGGAGGGGGAGATGGAGCCAGATGACAGCCCTGCCCGGAACCTGCCCTGTGCTAACCCGCTTCCCACCCCAAGCCACAAAGAGCCACGAAGGCCCTTACCTACCCACATTTTGGAAAAAAATATTCAAGGTCAGATCCTTTTCTATGCAAATCCTGCTTCCATTTGGGTCTGCAGCAGGCTCATCCTCCTCCTCCAGCAAGCCTTCCTAGATTTACTCAGTTGGATGCCATTCCACTCAGGGAAAACTTTCCAGCATCTGTCCTCACCGAGGGCACACCCCTGCTCCCATCCCCTTAACCTCCCCATCCAGGGAAGGTGTCACCCCCAGTTAACCACTTGAGTGATCCACTCAAGTTGTCAGCCCTAAGGCCTGGCTTCCAGATCCTGCCCAAGCTCAAAACAGGAAATGGGGCTCCAAGCCTGAAACCTTGATCTTAATACAGCGAAGGTTAAACACTGCCAAAATAAATGATTAAAAAAACTCACTGGCCCTTCCAGGTGGAAGTGACTGGGAGATTACGCCTACTGTGCATTAACCATGCCATGGCCCTCACCTCACGCAGGAGAGACAAGACGCTTGAAGTCTGACTGAAGTGTTTCTTTCCCTTATTTAGGAGGTTTTTCTGTTCTTGGACCAGGGACAGAGAGGGGTAGGGCGTTGGGGGGCGTCTCTGGGCGGCAGAGGGCATCTGATCACCAGACAAGAAGCAGATGCCCTCTGCAGTCTCCAGATTTGGTGGGGCGCCTCCGTTCAGTCTCGCCCTCGAGGACAACACAGCACCTTCCCTCGTCCCCAGGGCGAGGCAGCGCCTCTCCACTACCCTGCGGGCCGGGCTTGGGGCCTGCAGTTCCCCTCCCCTTCCAGGAAAGAGAGACAGGCCCGGAGGCACTAACAATGGCCCCAAGATTTCCCTTCTAGAGGAGTCCAAGAGCCTCTGGATCCCACTCCGAACTTTACTTGACAATCTACTCCTAACGCTAGGCCATGGCTCACACTTCCCCCAGGCCTCCCCAAGGATCCACCAGCGGCCGAGCGCAGCACAGCGCACATTTGGCGATCGGAAGGCGACCCCAGACATGCAAAGAACCGACCTGTCGGTTTACGCCCTTGAGCGCGAGGCAAAGGGCGCACCGCTCTGGCCGAGGCTCGGGGTCCCGCTCCCCCGCCAGCCCCGCCCCGGGAGGCCTTTAACCGTTTCGGCGCGCCAGCGCCCCTCACTCACTGTGTGTGCTGGCCGCGGCCTGCGCCGAAGACCTCGTCCAGCGCCACGGTGGCCTGGCCCAGGAACTTGTCGACGCCGATGAGCGAGCGGTGCATGGTGGTGAGCACCAGCTCGCAGGCGGCAGCAGAGCCCGCGGCCCAGGGCGCCGGGCCCGCGTCGGCCTCCTGCGCCCGCAGCAGGCCGTCCAGGGCGCCGGGCGGCAGCTCGAAGGAGCACTCCTCACGCCACTCGGGGCAGCCCGGCGTCTTCTCCACCACCGACGTGCTGTACTTCTCGCGGCCCACCTGGATCACTGTGTAGGCGTCGCTGGTGCTGCCGGCGCCCGAGCTCTTGCCCCGCAGCCCGCGGGCCCGCAGCACGGTCACCTGGACGTGAGTGGGGAGCCAGCGGGAGGGCCCCGCCGCCGGCTCGGCGCCCCGCACGAGGGCCATGGCAGGGAAGTGGCAGTGGCCGAGGGCCGGCCGAACCGGGCGCAGACACCCGGACCAAGTGAGAAACCGGGCAGCGGCGGGGGGCGGTCAGGAGCGGGCCGGGAGCGCTGCCGCCGCCGCCCGCAACCCTGCCGCCGCAGCTGCGGGCAGGGCTGGGCCGCGCCGGCCGCTGCCTCCCCGCCTCCCGGCCTCCCCGCCTCCCGGGCCGCCGGCCGCGCCGCGACGTCAGTGCCCCGCCCCCGGCCCCGCCCCGCGCCCCGCGCCCAGGCCCCGCGCGGCAAGAAGGCGGTGCCGCGGGGCCGCTGACCGCCGCGCCCCGGCCCGGGCCGCGGAAGACCCGCCTGGAGCCGGAGAGGGCGGCCGAGCGCGGCGAGGAGCGGGGGGCGGGGCGCGCGGCCTCTGCAGAGGGGTGGGCGGGGCTCCCGCGTTGGCCCCGCCCCGGGCTGGGGGCACCGGTGAAAGCCCGCCTGGCCTGAGGGCAGCGCCACACTCTCCGCCTGGTGTGAGATGCCCACTCCGCGTCTCCCGGCTAGTCCCAAAGCTTCCTTCAAGACGTCCCTGCTTCGGAAAGCCCTCGCCCTAAAACTGCCCTGGCCCGCCCCTCCCAGGATGACCATCCCCTTGGCGCGGGTATGTGGGGATGATGCGGACCCCGGCTGCCGGTCTCAGCTTGAACCCCGCTCTCCTTCTTCCAGCCCACCCCTGCCCGGGACGATGCCCGCGTGAAGCCAGAAGCGATTCCCGCTCCGCCACGTGACGGCCTCGCATCTGCTACGTGGAAGCGGGTGAGCCGCCGCCGCCTTCCACCTCCGCGCGCGGGAGGGACCTCGGATGCCGCGAGAGCGCGGCGCGGGAGGCGGGCGAGCTGGGCTCGCCCTCAGCGGACACTGCGGCGGAGAGCAGAGTGATGAATAAATGAGTAACCGCATCAATATTTAAGTGTTCGCTGGGAGCGCTGGAGCTCATGCGTCACGAGTTGGGGAAAATTATAGGCTCTGGTGGGGGGTTTAAACAATTACTTCCACCCATTAGTAAGTGCCTACTATGTGCAAATCCTTGGGTATTACTTGCATGCTTGGCTTATTATTAATAATGATAACAATGGCTAATGATTATAGATGCTGAATTTCGGCCGTTGCTAGCTCGTGCGCTTTATATGTATTACCTCATTTTATCCTCAGAGCAACCCTGTGGAGCTTTTATCCCTATTTTCCAGAAGATGAAATTGCAGCTTAGAGAAGTTAACTTTGCCCAAGATCCGTAACTGACAGAGGTGGGATATGAATCCACACAAATGACCCCTAAATCTGTACTTTTTTGTTTTTTTTTTTTTTTACTTTCAGAGCCTGTGCTTTTAAAATAATTATTTTTAAATAAAATGTAACAGCTAAAAAAAATCAAATAGGACAGACGCAGTTATTGATGAAAAGCAAAAAACTCCCTCTCCACTCCTAGATCCAGGAATAGCTACTTACATAGCCATCTGTGTTTTCAGGCCTGTGGTTACCTCCATATCTCTGTGTAAAATGCTTACATAGCTGTATCTGGATTTATCGGGACTGGCCACTATCCATTGTCTTCCTGCTCTGATAGATAATGTTTTAGCTCGCTCACACCCACTTCCCTGAATCTTGGGTGGTTTTCCTATTATTTTGCTTCCTCTGTTGGATACCTTTATAGTAGAAACTTTTTTTTCTTCTTGGGGAGACTCCGCAGTACCCCTTGACTTGCTATGCTGTGAGAAGAGGATGCCAAAATCCCCTCTCCTAGGCCAGGTCCTCCACCAGGAGTATGGATGTAGGAAACAAGTACAGGAGACTGATGGGAGCACGCCCACCACAAGTCCAATCCTGATAGCCTCCCACTGTAACTCTGTGATCAGAAGACTGGGGGATTGGCGGTCCTTGGCACTGAGCCCCATGGCCCAGCATCCCTGTGGACAGCACTTAGCCAGATCTTCCTATGGATCTTGGCTCTCTGCCACTTAGCTGCAATGAGACCTGAAGATTAAGCCAGCTCGCTAACCTCTCTCAGCCTCATCTCCTCATCTAGAAAATGGGGATAATGATTCCTACTTCAAGCAGTTGCTGAGAAGATTACATGAGAAAATATTGTCAAAGATTTTAATGCAGTGGAGACCATCACAAATGATCTCAACGCATCTGAACATCATATACAGCTTTTTTTCTGATTATAAAAGTAATCTGGAAAAAAACAGCAAAATATAAAGAAGAAAATAAAAATAGATCATAATCTCGCCATCCAGAAATAAGCATTGTTAACAATTTGTTGTATTTCTTTCCAGTCTTTTCTTTATACTGTATGTTGTTGTTTTATATGCACTATAGTTGTGAGGCATTGTAGTGTAATGGTTAATGTGGGCTTTGGAGTCCTGGTTCTACCATACACTCGTATGTATTATCTCTACCTCTGAAGACTACCTTTTAAAGCAGGTGCTATTGCTATCCCTGAAGTCACTGATGAGGAAACTGAAGCAGAGAGTGTGGGTAATTTTTCCCAAGTCTCCAACTGGAAAATTGTGGAGACTGGACTTGAACTCGGGTCTGAGTGACTCTACTGTCTGTGGCAATCTGCCCTCACACTAGCTTGTTGGTCATCTAAGCACCGCATCCACTTGAAGTCAATAAGGCAGGAAGTGTTGTCATACCTATTTTACAGATGAAGAAATTGAGGTAAGGAAAAGGTTAACAGACTTCTCCAAGGTTACAGAGTCAGGATGAAGCCCCCACTTTAAGAATGGATTCCCCAAGGGCTTTGCAATTGAAGACATCTTTACCAAACTACAACATGTGTTTGTCACTCTCCTTTAATGATTCTGTGTCATCTGTTTCCCAGCTCTCCACCGTGACTGGACTGCCTCCCTCCTCCTACCCCATGCAGTAGCAAGGCTCCAGGAAAGGGAGAAGGAGAACTCAGACGGGCTACTCCCGCTCTCCTTCTTCCTGCCCTGGCCCACGCAGTTTGGCAAGCTCAGGCTTCCTGCTGGACCAGGACTGCGGCTGGCAGCAGGAGGGCAGTGAAGCCAGGCAGGGCTCCCCTGCCGGTCACTTGGCTCCGGGAGGAAAGGGCGGGGTCTGCTAGCCATCTGTGGGTGAGAAAAGAGCAGAAACTCCAAAGACACTAAGGTCTTGGCCACCCAGAGGTGCGTTTCCTCCTGTAGAAGATGAAACCACCAGCACCCCAACCTGCGGCAGCCTGCCCTGAGGGTTGCGGGGAGAACCCTCCCGCTTCCCCTGCCTCCCCAGGGCTGCGGGTGCTCACGCCTTCCTGGGCCTCTCTGTCCGTAAGGCACAGTTCTTGCTTTAAAAGACTGGTCCTTTGTGTAATTTCCACTCGTTGCTTCCCTCTGCAATACCGTCAAATCCCATTTGCCGTTCCACATAGGCACTTCAAATTCATTTGCCTGGCTCTTCAACCTACACTTCCCCCTGTCGGTCATCCTCCCCCTCCCCCCACCAGCTCAGGTTCAAATCCTGGTGCCATCACTTACCAGCATTTTAACCCCTCTGAGTCTCAGTTTCCCCATCTTTAAAATGGGCCTGATATGAGGACCTTACCCCACAGGGTTAGTATGAGAACTATCTCAACACGTCCTAAGCAGTAATGGGTGTTATCGTCTCAGAAATCTTTGCTGAAAGCAAAAGCTCATACCTCCTTGTTTTATTTGCATTTCTTTGATTGCCAGTAAGACTGAACATCTTTTTCAGTTATTAGTCATTTTTATTTTCTCTTTTAATGAGTTGTCTACTTTTTGAATTATCTATTTTCTATGCTCATTTTTCTTTGAAGCTTTCTTATTAATTTGTATGAACACTTTATGTTAAGAATAATAATGCTGTCTTTTATATTTATTGCAAATATATTTTTGACATAAGAAGTTATGTAGTCAAATCTTTTAATTTCTTCTGTTGTTTCAAATTTAAGTTCCTCCACACTAACAAGTCCAATAATATTCACTCATATGTTTTCTAGTTCTTAAGTCGTTTGGCTTTTCTTTCTTCTTTCATTCTCTTTAAACTCTTCTACAAAGAATTTTGGTAAATGATTTAAGATGAAAATCTAACCCTCTCTCCCCCAACAGCCACCCGAATTTCCCAGTACTTATTGCAAAACCCTATCCCTTTGCCATTAGTTTTTTCATATAAGTTCTTATTTATACTATAGACAGAGTCTGAACTTTGTATTCTATTCCACTGAGATTTAAATCATTCTGCCAGTGCCATTCTAATTATTGTCGCCTTTTAAATGCTTTATTATAATAGAAGGGCAAATCTTCTCTCATTTCTTTTTCTCAAAGATTTTATAGCTACTCTCTCCTGTGTATTCATTCACATGAGCTCTAATTCTTCTTGGAATTGTGAGAGAAATTGTTGCGAGAAAAAGTGACATGTTTACAAATAATAGCTATCAAAAATAACAATATACTCTCTAAAATTAGGAATAAGACAAAGATGTCCTCTCTCCATTTCTGTTCTGCCAACATTGTGCTGGAGCTTCTAGCTAGGACAATTAGGCAAGACAAAGAAAGAAAAGCCATTCAGATTGGAAAGGAAGAGTAAAACTATCTCTGTGTGCAGATTACATGATCTTAGATGTAAAAAATCCTAGGGAATCCATTAAGAAACTATTAGAACTGATAACTTGGTTCAGCAAGGTTAGAGGCTAGAGGATCAATATACTAAAATCAACTGTATTTCTATACACTAGCAATGAACAATTGAAAATAAAATAAGAAAACCTTTATGAGTATCAAAAAGAATAAAATACTTAGAAATGAATTTAACAAAAGAAGTGTAAGACTTGTGCACTAAAAACTACAAAACATCTTTGAAAGAAATTGACGAATACCTAAATAAATGGAAAGACATCCCACGTTCATGGATGGAAAGACAATATTGTTAAGATGGCAGTGTGTCCCAAATTGATCTACAGATGCAACGCATTCCTTATCAAAGTCCCAGCTGCTATTTTTTCAGAAACTGACAAGCTGATCCTGAAAATCATATGGAAATGCAAGGGACTCAGGATAACCTCATAAATCTTGAAATAGAAGAACAAAGTTGGGGGACTCATACTTCCCGGTTTCAAAACTTACTACAAATCAAGACAGTGTGGTACTGGCATAAGGATAAACACATAGATTATGGAATAGAATTGAGAGTCCAAAAATAAACCCTTATGTTTATGGCCACTGGTTTTTCCACAAAG